CAACAGTGAAAAGTTAACTTTAAAAAAAGAATCTGCAGCCTTAGTGAGTAGACAGTTTATGTAAGGGCATACAGGCACCAACTACCAAGAACAAATTAAGCCACATCTCCAACCTTCAATAAAACAATAATATATTTGTTGCCAAACTCGATTCAAACACAACTTCCACAATTAACCAAAACATATGGCCAGACTCTGGGACAAACGTTGGCCCCAAAACAGGACAAGTTGAGCTTAAGAGTCTGAAAAATAATACTGTCTGTCCACTGGAATGTAGTCTTGGCATTAATAAATATTTTAATAAAAAATGGAAATAAGCAATTTACCCACTACTTTTTGTTACTCTCGCAGCCCACACACTGTGTGAACACTACACAAGGAAAGGGATAATACACACACTTTCTCCTGCTCAAACAAAGAAAATTAACACAACGGCAAGGTGCATAACAAAATGGAAATAATGACAACTCACTTAATCCTTGAATGTGAGAGTGAATCTGAATAATAAAACACTGCAGACATGTTCCAATGGGAAAGGACGAAAGCTACTTTCCACATGAAAAACAAAATAAAATATTGCAAATTAACCAATGGAATTTCTTCTCAATGTATGATAAAGATATGCTGCCTATACTCAATGCAAAAGTCCAGTCAGCATTGAATAGTTTCACAGGCAAGATTAACATAAAGTTGCAGAGGGTTTACCAATACCAGTATACACTTTACCAATAGCAAAATGTATATTATTAATGTGTACAGGGACATTTTAAAACTGAGTGCAGAAGACATCAAAACATGATCGAGATAACTAACTTGTTGAAAAAGAATGTACTACTTATCTTACCACTAGGGGGCAGACTCCAGTACAGTGTTATAGACTGTACTGAGGGATGCTAAATGCACAAATCCAAACACCAGATTGAAAAACTGGGAATCTAACCGGCAAACTAGTTTTTCCCTTGACCATTAGAATTTGACAATATATATTGGTATACCTTGTAGCGATTAATATATTTTATATTATAAAACTAGTGTTACTTAGTGTGAGTGGTGTCCAGCCTGTTACTGTCAGCACAGTACGTCCCGACTGCTCCTGTTTGTACCATGTGCCTCAGTGCCCATATGTAGCCACAGTCATCAATATCACATCCCTGACATGTGGCTTATTGACAGTTCTATACAAACATAACGTGTTCTCTGGTTCTAAATATAGTCCATACTACAAAGGACATGTGATTGCAAAAGCTACATAACATAGTATACAGCTCAGTGATCATGATGAAGTACATTAAAAAAAACAAAAAACACCAGTTCAAAGACAGAACGCATTAGTCATCAGACGCCCCCGACTTTGGAATCACACTGTTTTGTTGTGCTGAACTGAGGCTTTGAAAGAAAACTACTCCCTGGCAGTGAAGTTCCTGCGGCCCAATAAAGTGCTGCCTGTGCAGTGGGGAGTCGAAGTAAACAAGAGAGATGAGCAGCTCTTAAACCAAAGAGAGCATTTATCTTTTTTTGTCTCTCAGAAAAAGTAAGAACACACACCTCTTAGACCACCACCTGCAACAGGTGGGCCGACGGCGTACAGACGGAAATGCAGCTGTGTGGTATTTATGGATCTATGGGTGAAACTCAGCTCTGATCATAGATGGTACATAAGAAAGGAACAACACTATCCAGTTGCAAATGTGAAGTAAGTCTGGAAGTATGTTGAAAGGAAATCTTTTGGAGGCTAATATATACAGGTCTCCAGTTTCCTGTTACATACGTAGGTCAATGAAAATGTTCTTTAGAGTCTTTTTTTTAATCAAACAGCTTCAATATTCTAACTGTCCAATGCATCTACTCCCATAGACAAGCAGATTAATAAACAAATAAGACCAATGCCAGGAATCCACCTTAGGATGAAACAGCATGGAGAAAGTGACATAATGTCCTCCCTGTCACCTCCTCCGGCTCCTCCCAGGGACTCCCGAGGCAATCAAAGTCCAAACAAGATTAATGGTCTCTCCCAGTGATCTCTGCTTCTCCCCCTGGAGTCTCCTCCAGTGTGACAAATTTGATAGAATGTCAAAATTAATGACAAATTTCTTATTAAAGATGCCATTAGCCTTTTCTTTTTGGGTTCCAAAGGCCTCATGCATGATTGTCCTCTAAACCCAAAAACTAGTTTTAAAAACATTTTAAACTATCAACTTAACACGATGGCTGGTTATAAACATGTTGTCTTATAGGGATAGATGTAAACAGAAAAAAATATAACTTGACATTCAAAGCTAGTGGGGGAAAGACTTATTCTGCCACCCTGAAGGTCAGCTAGTCACGTGTCCATTCCTACGGCAAAAATGCAGTTAAAATAAAGAGACTGTGGAAACAGATTTTGCACAATCCTTAAGTATATTAAACTACTGTATGTTGATAATTTTGGACAGTCCCTGGTGCCTTGGATTAGACATAACACACAACAAAGCTTCATGCTGTAGGTCAATATGAAGACAACAACTGCAATATGTGCTACTGGATGAGTGTATCTCAGCGTAGGAGAGTGGGCGGAGAAATCCACATCCTCAACTTGACTCAGGAAACAAGAGCTGCTGCTGATGATGATAATGATAATGATCAGCTACTTCACTGCATCTCATCCTAAACACTCCTAAACATCCTCCTATCGTCACGCTCCTTCTGTACATGCTCTAAGTGTAGATATTAGGACGTGGATGTTGCAAAAGCAAAAAAAAAAGCTTAATTGGATTAAACATATTTGATTCTCTTCTCTTCTTTTTAAAGGAGAAGGAAGGGATTTGTTTGGAGCAGGCCCGACGCCCACACTTGTGCACAACTTGTGATTTGCATTCGACTGTAAAACAGCAACTAGAGCTCGCTGGCTGCGCTCCAGGCTTCCAATCTCACATGGTCATTCAACTGCAGGCTCTCCAGGGTGAGCAGGAGTGGCTGTGTGTGTGTGTGTGTGTGTGTGTGTTGGACAGACACCGCTGTGAGCCTCTGATCTTCATATCATTCCGTGTGTGTGCGCACGCACACTCTCCCTGCACTTTTCATCAACACATGTTCACTAACGCCATGTCAGATCCATAAATGTTGCAACGTTAATGCACTGCAACAGGATTCAGTTGCAAATAAATACAGTTTAAATGAATGGAAAAAGACGCCAGGGAGCAAAATGGAAATGTGTATAAAAAATGTATGCGTGAGTGACAGGATATTTATGCAGAGAGACAATCACAGGGTACAGTGATAATCCAATACGCCACCATGCAGACAACATCACAAATGGATTCGCTTATGTGTAGTCATCTACAGGATCCATTTCCTATGCAAAGCATACCACAAGTCACTCTGTGAGAGCAGGGACCACCAGCCTTTTATACATTAAAATAAAATCACTTCAAGCAGCATGCTTCTTCTTGCCACCGAGCATAATCCCGCACACATGACTTGGCAGAGGTTTTTATGATAAATACCCCTTTATGACGCAAACCTCCAGCAATTCTACATGCTGGCTCTGGGACTGGCATTAAGAGGGCACACGTGGTGGCCTCACCCTGAGGCTGGAGTATGGACTATGATGAGATCAAACCCTCAACCTTGTCTTGGAAGATAACACTCCTCCATCCCTCATCCACAGTACACTCAAGATAAGAAAAAAAAAAGAAAAAGATAATGCCTACACATGGCAAAACTAAAAATAAAAACTATTTTAAAAAAAATTAAAATCACCCTCCATTTCGAAGGAATAGGAGCGGTATTCCACTTTTCATATTGCAGTAAGCGCAGTATCATCACAGTCATTCTAGAGGATCGCCTGCAGAGTGTCTGAACACATGGAAAATCCCCATTAAGAGCGGATCAATGAGAAGCATAGATTTCAACACATAGAGGTTGAATGATATTTTTTGAAACATTCAATTGAAAAAAAAATCATTACAATTACAAATAAAATATACAATTTAAATGAGATCGAATTTAAGTTCAAAGATCTAAAATAACAACTGTACGATTGGCATAAATTCAGTCTAGGCGTCTAAATAAAAAATACATCTGAGATCCAGCAGGTTACTGCAGACACACAACTTACAGACATTCCATCACATCAAAACACAAATTACTTGTGAATCCCCGGACCACGCTGCACAGAGATTTCTTCTCATTTTAGTGATTCATTTTCTCATCAGTTCAATCAGGTGATGCAATTTGGTACAGCAGTTGTCAAATTATTTCACACCCAGTACACACTCACACACTGTTGATCTCTGTGGCTTTTACCCAGCCTCCCGCTCTCACCTCTTATGTCAGCTGCAAACGCAGGGTTTTACCCTGGACACGACTCTAATCCATCATATAGTCAACGTACTGTGAAAAAGAATCCTTCACACTCACACACCTGTATGTTGAATAGTTTTTCACCAACCTGAACCCTTTTTTACAAACGTTTGGACCGTGACCTGATTTACCTGCAGTTATAAACTGCTTTTTTAATATGAATTATAACAAATTGTCTACTTATACTACTGTGTCAGTGTCTCTTTGCAAACATATTCTTCAAATGGTCGAATAAGTAGAACAATATTAAAACAGTAAATTGACTCGTTTTTTTCTTGACTTAAATTGTAACTATCAACGTCATGATTCTTAATAAGGAATCATATTAAGTGTATTTATTTCAACACGTGAGCCACAAAGATGAAATTAAAAAAAAAAGAAAATTACATTTTCTAAGAATTGTTCTTTGCTCCGTTTATTTAACACAAATAAAATTATCTCTAAAAATGAACCGTTCAACTCAAAGAATCTACTTTTGAAATCCCTGCCATCGTTTCCATTCATTTTGACGAACTGAAATGCACGTGTGAAAACCAGAGACTCCAAATCACACATCCCTTCCTTCGTTTATCATATAGATAATTTCCACACACCAAAATAAAGCGACACACTAACACTAAAAGTGATGAACCGAAAGGACAGGAGTGAGGAGAACTCACCATCTCTCTGTTGAAACGCCGGCTGCTTCTGCCACTGCCGCTGAACGCATGTCACGACACTAAATCCTCCATGAGCCAAAACGAAAAAGGTTTCTTATAATATGTATTGCTCCGAACTGAGCGCGACACTTGTCACACTAACGAAACTGAAATGCAAAGTAGAGAGAGAAAACGACAGTAACTGCGGCGGCTGGAGGTGAACTGTGGCCGGAAAGAAACAGCAGAGCGACGCGGATGTGGAGAAGAAAGACGCGTCTGTGCGTAAAAGACGCAGAAGAAGGAAGAGCCAGGAGGAGAGCGCACAGTGACCGACGAGGACGCACTGTTGGAGAGCGAGGGGGGGAGAGAGAGAGAGAGAGAAAGAGGGAGAGCGCTCCGGTTTGGACGTACTGTGGAAAGTCGCTGTTCACCGTGGACACGGGAACAAATCTGTGTGAAAAAACTCACAGGTGCAATTAGTCAAATCAGTGATGGTCCAGTTCCATTTAGCTGCCCCGATTAAACCCTGCAGTTATCAGTCAAGCTGCTGGATCTCTTGAATATGATCTTCTAATTATTGCTGTATTCAACGTAGAAGTCAACGTTTTGTGTGGAACCTACAAATGTAGATGTCTGAGTCGACAATCATTGGTACTAGTTCTGGTACTGAATCCAAACAAGGCCCACCAACATCCATTGAGTGGAGGCTGTACTTTTGTCAGGAAACATTTCTTTTTTCTCACCTTTCTGACACTGCATCTGAACTACGAACTACGAACATAGATAATATTGATGAAGATATTAAAACTCAAGCTCCAACATTTTACAGTTAAATAGGTTTAAAATGATGCAACGCACACCTTTTTAAATGAACAGTCCATTTACCTCAAAGTTCATGCATTAAAGCAAAGGTCAGTGGAGGAGTCGAGTCATTAGACAGGACTTTGTTTCAACCCAAGACGTGTTGTCAAAAATAACAAGAAAAGTCCTTTTTTCCACATTTGGTAAAAACATCCCCCACACATTCCTGCAGGTCGTGCTCTGGGTGTTTTAAGTTGAACTCTAACAGCTTTTAGATCACAGGAAATGAAAAACTACTCCATCAAAACATCTCTGGATTTTTCAACTCCAAGTCTATTACAAATGTAACTAAAGGGAGAAATAATCACAGAACCTGTGTGGCAGTATGGGTGGAACATAATAGACTATCTGGCCAAGGACACGGGGAACCAGAGAGGAACAGTACAGCACAGGTGGTGCACATGAAGAGAACCAGGGGAGAACAAGAGGGTGTAATGGAGGCAGGGGGAGGTAAATTACAAGATGTGGGGAGAGAGACTGCTACAAAATCACTAAATGGAAAATTGGACCAAAGTGATGGAAAATGACTTGAAACAAAATCCTTGATAAAGTCGAGAAGACTGGTATGAGGTAACGGAGAGACTACCCCACAGCTTTTATATCCAGATGTTGGTTTTATTAGCCGAGAGGAAGTACATTTGAAGCAACGCTAAATGGATTGAAGTTTTTTTTTACTTTTATTTACAATATCCGTCGGTCTGTTGGTACACACCGCCAAGGTTGTCGACTTCTGGTAGAAAACTGAATGTTTGTCTGTCTAACATTTAATGAATTTAACTTAATGTCTTTTCATACTTGCTGTTTGTTTTGAATGTGATGCTGTATCAAAGAATACAGGAAAACACACTGTAAATGCTGAGAGCAAAATCACCAGAGAATTAAATGATAAAATTAACAGTGGAAGATTCCAGCCATTTATTATGTCCCCCTTAAACAATGTCCCCCAAGTATCACTCAGGGATATTGTCGCCCTCCCAATTCTCCACCCCAACTCTTACACCCCAGATAGGGTTTAACCCATCCAGAAGATGGCGCCCTAGGAATCTACATATGTTGCCTGTGCGAACATATCTTAAAATCACAGCTGGTTCTTATCATAGGCGATACAGCCAGTCGCCTACAGCGCCATCTGCTGAAAAGGCGGTGCCGGACATTCAATTGTACAAGTGTATTTGTGTGTGTTTGGGTGAAGGAGGGGTTAAACTCACAATGGGCGCTAAACTGGGTTGAGCCTGAATAAAGTTGATATAAATTAGTTATATTTAAATTGTTAATTAACATGTTAAAACACGTCCTTTAAAGACACCTTTTTACACACACATTATGATGGACTATCTGACACCTGTCTACTGCTCGTTGATGAATATGAACTCATCTTCAAGCAGAACATCCACAACAACCAGGCGTTAAGACTGGGAAATGCAAGGTTTAATGAAAAAATGCTGCAGTGAAAAAGATGAATGTGATTCATACATTAAAGTGACAGCCACTGTGGTGGAACTGCATGCAGGTGAGGCCCACATGTGGTCGGAGGCACCATCCAGCTCAGCGGCAGAGCCACTCAGACTCTGACTGTCCTCCATGTCTGATCCCTTCTGAGTAACTCACCTTAATCAACTATTAACAAGTTCTCAAGAAGCATCAGAAACCCATCTGAGATTCATCCGAGGAAGTTAATCCCATCCCATCTCACTTTGTGAGAGCAGACAGTCTCCAGCATAAGTGAATTAGAGTTTTCCTATAAAGAAGAATTACTTTTTACTGCTCGGGTTTCTTCTGAGTTTGTCCCGCAGAAGTGGTTGGCTTTGTTTTCCATTGTTCCTATTTTATGTCCAGATAATGTCACATTTTGCAGTGTCACTGACATGCAGAGCTCAGACGTCAGAGGGAGATTCAGCTGAGAGACGTTCAGTAAAATAGGTCAGGGTGACTCAAGGCAGCGTCATGACAGAACATTTCATCCTTTATTCAGGTCTGGTAAAGTGATTTCCAGCTATTTCAGATTTTTTATTGCACTTAAAAATAAATAAAAATAAATTTCTTCCATTCAGTTTGTGCCACGTTGCTGTAATTTATTGTCGATGGAGGTTATTTTTGGCAGCCATTAGAATCAGCTCCTACACAAATCATGAGACACAAATGAACAGTTGGGCTACTTTCCCACACACATGCAGACTGTCTTTTTTTTTAAGGTCCTGTGATTAACTGCCAGTGGATACAAGCCGCAGAAGCTTTTGAGACCAAAATAATATATATATACAGTAAATATATACACAATATATAAAAAAAAGAAGAAGAAAAAAATCTTCACTTAGCGTTAATTTATTCAGCTTTCTTTCTTTAGTTCTCCAGGTACTCCATGTTTTGTCCCCTCTGATTGGGTTAATTAGACACTCTTAATTGAACGCAGTGACTTTGATTGTAAATGGATGTTTGTGTCCCTGCAATGAACCGTTAAACCGTCCAGGGTGTATATTCAGCTTCTGCCTGTTGACTACTGTAATTAGCTCCAGCACCTCCACAAACCTGAGAAGGATTAAGCAGCAGGAGATTAATTCATTATTTTTTAATAATTCCATCAAAAGCTTCTTTTGCAGTCACGACGACGGTAATAAAAAAAACTAAAGACTAACACATTTACGGAGATTTTTTTCCAGAGTTGTTTTCCCTCCTTCAGTAAAATAAAAAGAACTTACAATAAAGTGTAAGGTTTGTTCGATTGGTTCAAAGCCCCCAACTGTTGTCAAATAAGAAGCCACCTACATTAGTCAGCACTGAGTCTTGGAGACAGGCTAAACTCTGCAGCGTTTAACAATTAGACATCATCGCCTTAGTTTGCCTGCAGGTTTTAAACATAACAGACGCTCCAATATTGTTCTCACATAATAAAAATTTTACTGAGCCTCAGAAGGACAGTGTCTTCATTTTTCATTTTGTTGATATGGTTTATGTTGTTAAAAAGTTGTGTTTATAGTGATAAAAAAAAGTAATGAAATGTTGAAATGTTTTTGGTAAGTGGTCATATCAGTGTATGAAGAAAAAGAGTTAGTAAAAAGACAATGTCGGCCTGATTTGTGTGTGATTTAATGCAGTGTAAGAATGTAAGAATTCTAAATGTTTATTTCCAAAGTGAGATTTGTTTTGTTTTCACAGCCTTTTAAAAGTTATAGGTGTATTCTTGCCACTGGCTGCAGAGTTTTATGATATAAGATATATTTGCTATGAAGTACATCATTTCCTGTCACCTTGGGGCTCCATTAGATAGAATGTTTCCCCTTTGTATTCTTTACACTGTATTGACGCTTTTATATGTGTACATATGTATACATTATGTTCAATGTTTGTACCAAGTCAAGCACCTTTTACTCCATACAGAGTCCATTATATCCCTACCATCCATGAACCTTGATGCTTCAGACTCACTTTAAATCATAGCAAAGGAGCCAAAGTCCTAACACATGGTCGGGTTCACTGCTGTATACATTTAAACGACTCTCTTCCTGCTGCTGTAGAAATGTGGATGTTTACAGCTGAATGTGAACCGATGCTCCAGAGGCGAGTTTCGCCACACACCCATAAACCTAACTACCACGGGGCAAATAGCGCCATATTATTTTCCCAACTACCCACATGCACAAGATGCATGATTTTTTTTTTCTGTGCACATTTTTTATCTTTCCCACTGTCCCTGGAGGTTTCTGTTGTAATGAGTAAAACCTCTATCTCTCTCTCTTTCTCTCTCTCTCGTTGTAATGAGTAAAACCTCTAGTTCTCTCTCACTCTCTCTCTTTCTCTCTCTCTCGAATTACCCTCACAACATCACAAGTGCCATGAGATACAACATACTATTAGGTACAATATGCTGGCTTTTAGGCTCATAAACAAATAATTTGGTTTCTGGAGATTCAGCTTACACAAAGGTGCTTTGCAGAAACACAAGCTCACATAAAATAAACCTTTGGCAGTCCATAAACATTTATCATCAACATTAAAATGATTAGAATGTTTTTCTCATTAACCACGATCCCATGTTATGAAAACTAATCATGACTATGATCATGATTAGTTGTGATTAATTACTACTGTGATTAATTAGGACAGTTATCCTCAACAATATTTATCAGTCTACAACCCCTCACAATCTATTTGACACCAGTGTCAGTCAGTGTGTTAGCTGTTGACTGACACTGGTGCCCTGCATTCACCTAGTTGGAGCCTCCACAAAAAAAAAAAAAGGTCACACATTGATAATCTGCTCTTTAGGTTCAGGAAACTGAAAGTGTAACACAATTCAAAATCAATATGGTTACTTAAATCAGATTACTCATAAATCAGTCACATACGGTGGAGAATCAGACACTGTTCTCTAAAACACTGGCTAATTCTTCTTAGCACCAGATGCTAATTTCTAAGCAGATAAAGCAACATATTTTTCATCACATAAAGATACAATAGAGACAAATATTAGGATTTCAGAGTTTAGAGTTGATATTGTACCTTGAGGTTATTTATTATCTTTACCAAGACAGAAACAGACCAGTACACATTACAATGACTACATTCACCCTGGGGAAGGAACAAACAAGCACTAAAATAATGTATGAAAAGATTGCAGCAGTGGATTCACTGCCAAAAGAAAATACGTTTAGTACTTCATCAGTGTTATGTGCATAAACTGCACGGGACAACTGATTCTCAGAGACAAGAAGTGGCATTAAAATTGATCGCCTCTGCTGAAAGAAAACGCACTGTTCGACAGAAGACAAAAAGATAACACATAAAAAGGATCAGAAACCAGATGCACTGGAGTTCAGGTTGAAGAGTTTATCTGCTCTAAGGTTAGAGTTTTGGTTTGTTAATCAATAAATAGAGTTGACTTGAATTTCTAAGCATCAAAGGTTTGTCCATCTTGTCAAGTGATTTATATTTTTTCTACCTTTTAGAGAGAGAACTCTTTGTATCTTAGTTGTTTTCATTGTTCAAATGAACACATAGCCACGATTAAAACTAAGAACCAAGAAAACTTTTTTTGAAACTTCATTTCTCACTTACATTAAAACTTAAATCATCTTTGGGGAACTTTAAACCATGTGGTTACAGGCAGGTACAGCACCATGGTAAAGGGAGTCTCTCATTTACTGTAAGTGTCAATGCAGATGTGGGATTTTTTTT